GGTAGTTGGCTTGAAAAAGAGAGGGAAATTCTTTAGTGATTTGAATCCCAAGATAGGTGAATGTCTAAGACGAAATCTTAAATGGTAAATGTTGTATCAGGCCAACAGACATTAACTCACTCTTGGTCCAGTTAATCCTGTAACCAGAGAAGGATCCAAACAAGTTAATTTTATCCAAAACAGTGGGAAGACTTAATTGAGGCTTGGTAATAAACAGGAGAACGTCATCTGCATATAGGGAAATCTTATCAGGTGTGTATGTAACATTGGAGGCATAGATATTTGGATCAGTGCAAATAGACTCCATGAGGGGCTCGATGGCCAGCGCGAACAGGAGGGGTGAGAGGGGACACCCCTGTCTCGTGCCCCTATACAGGCTGAAGTGGGAGGATAGCATTCTGTTAGGTAAAGTTTGATCCAGGCGATAAATTTGTCTCCTAAATTAAATTTGTCCAGCACAGCGAATAAATAAGACCATTCTACCTGGTCAAACGCTTTCTCGGCGTCTAGAGCGCCAATAACGAGGTCGCTGATACTGATACAGCTGGTACTTAGTATGGTACATTATATTAAAAAGGCGTCTGAGGTTGGAGAAGGAGTTTCTGCCAGGGACAAACCCGGTCTGGTCCGAGTGAACCAACGTACTCATATATCTGTTAAGTCTGTTTGCCAAAACTTTACCTAATATTTTCTGGTCCACACTGAGTAAAGAAATAGGTCTGTATCCTCCAACCTCCTCTGGGTCCTTACCCTGTTTTGGAATGAGTGTTATGACAGCGAGTCTCACTCAATGTTTGAGGCAGAGACCCATTTTCGAGGGCTTGAGAGTACATTTTAAGCATATAAGGTCTAAGTATGTCCGTAAATGTTTTGTACAGCTCACAAGGGAGACCATCAGGTCCTGGGGTTTTGCCTCCTTTTAAAGTTTTAATTGTTTGTTTTAGCTCTTCCATGGTATAAATGTATTTACTTAACAAAACATTTATTCAAATTTGAACTTTACATTGTTACTATTTCAGGAAATAATAATAATTTAAAAAAAAAAACTTCACAGATAGGCAAACAAACATACAAATTACAAATTATTGCAACTTAAATCCACATAAAGAGTCTCAAAAAAATTAATAAGCTCTTAAACGCTTAATAGCTCTCTCTTGGCGTATACTCCTGTCTTTTGTGGCACTCACTCTATTTTCTGCAGCGCTTACTCTTTCATCCAGCTTCTCCACTTTCTTCTTCATCTCACCCACAGATGTTTCCAGCCTGTTGAGGGACAATTTCGTGTCCCGCAAAGAGTCACTATTCTCCTGTCAGACTGTCCTCAACTCTGCTAGCATCTCCAACTCCCCGCTTTTGGAGCTGGGTGGAGCAAGCTACACCTTAGGAGCTTAAGGTTGCTGGTTTGGACAAATAAAATCAAAAGCAGCAAAGAAACAAAAGAAAACACCAAGGCCACAGCGACGAACTGCCAGGACACTCGATGGTGTACACAGGCCCGCCGTTGATGAACCCGGGGGTGGTGGGGGTCTGGAGGCAGGGATCAAAGAACTCTCCTTAGCAGGTTTAAGGCGGGCCACATGGAATGTTGGGTGGATCCTCATGGACCTGGGAAGCTGAAGACGCACTGCCAAAGGATTAACCATCTTGGAAACAGAAAAGGGACCCACGAACCTCAGAGCCAGCTTAATGGGGTCCATCTGAATGTTGTTAGCAGAGACAACAAAACCGAGGAAGGAGACTGTGGGAACATGAAACTCACATTTCTCTGCTTTGACGAAGAGTTGATGATCGAGGAGATGCTGCAGGACCTGGCCAACATGCTGAATGTGGGTCTGCTCATCCGGGGAGAAGATGAGAATGTCATCCAACTAGACAAAAACTGGTTGAGCATGTCCCAAAGGACATCATTAACTAAGGCTTGGAAGACAGCTGGAGCATTTGTGAGACCAAAGGGTATAACAAGGTACCACTGGCAGTGTTAAATGCTGTTCTCCACGTGTCCCCCTCCTTAACCTCACCACGTGATAAGCATTTCTAAGATCCAATTTGGTGAAGATCTTAGCATCTTTCAACAGTTCAAAGGCAGAGGAAATGAGAGGGAGAGGGTACTTGTTCTTAATTGTGATGTAATTCAAACCTCTGTAGGCGATACAGGGACGAAGAGTCTTGTCTTTCTTCTCCACTAAGAAAAAGCCTGCCCCGCTGGAGATGCTGGAGATGAAGATGGTCTGATGATCCCAGCAGCAAGGGAAGAGTCGATGTACTTCTGCGTGGCCTCCCTCTCAGGGACAGAGAGAGAGTACAACCACCTTTGGGAGGTGATGTACCAGGGAGAAGGTCTATGCAGCAGTCATAAGTCTGGTGTGGAGGCAGGGAGGTGGCACGAGCCTTGTTGAAAACTTCCTTGAGGTCAAGGTAACAGGAGGGAACACAGGACAAGTCCGAGAACTCAGAATCAACAGATGTAGAAGTAGGAGAAGGCTCAGGAACCTCTGTTGACCCTGAAACCTCAGGGGATGGTGGAACTGGAGCATCCGAAACTCAGGAGGAGGAACAGAAGAGCAGCAGGTTAGTAAACACTAACAAGACTCTGTGCAAGAGGTGACCATCCAGAGCGCTGGCTTCCAAAGGCTTGGGGAGGGGAACTTTCTTGAGCCAGAGTCTCTTGGCTAATCTCTAGTCCATCTGAAGGAAGGAGGATGCACAACTCCAATATTTCCAATCATGATGGGTGCAAGTTGCAGAGAGATCCCAAAGAAACTAGTAGGCAACAGCACTCACAAAAGACTACAGTCAAAATCTATGTTTTAATAGGGCAACACACGGCCAAGCAAAATGACAGACGCGTTTCAGCCTAAGCTTCTTCAGTGTGTATATANACAACATAAATGCAGGAAAGAAACACTGCACACTGTCTTCAAGCCACAAATTTATTCAACAAGACCAAGTTTCAATCCAGGATGGATCTTAAAACATCAAGCATTTGGACCTGACGAATCTCCTACTTGGACCTAAACTTTGTCCTTTTTGAATACAATTTGTGGTATGTCTGTAGGCATCATTTCACTATTAGGTAACTGAAAAATAAGAGAGGACATTTTGTATACTTGTGAATTACAGACAGGATGTCGTGAGGGATTCTGGTTCTTAGCTTATTAAGCACTCGCCACCATGACAGCTACGTCAGCATCGTCAGCATCAGGACCGTCGCAACCAGACAGGCAAACTAGGCAATTGCCTAGGGCCCCGAGCTGGAAGGGGGCCCCCAGAGACGGCTGACATTGGTCCATATCAATGACAATATGATGGAACCCCGAAAGACACAACACACGCAACAACAACAACACATTGGAATCTCCCCTAATGGGGCCCCCTACTAGCTGCTGCTTGCGAGTGGCTAAGTAGGGTGACCAGACATCCCGCATTGTGCGGGACTGCACAGCATTTCTGTCTCTTTTCACGCGTCACGCAAATTGAGACCATGTCCCGCATGATTGGTTGCCACCCGCTCTAGCATTGTTGGCCACACCTGTGGCACTGTGGTTAGATTTGTTTATATATGCTACAGTGATTTGTTTTCCACAGAGCTCTACAGTGTGAGCATTTTACTCGCATTTGTGACAAAAAATAGTTTTGCGCAAGCAAAACAAATCATTCAGGAGCACGCTGTGTGAGTACAGATTTCAACCAGCAGCAGAAACGAACGGCGAATCCTGCCAGTTGTGGGTTGAATGGGGGTCACAGATGCCGTATTCCTGTCAAATACCGCGTAAGATAGGGGCTTACCGGCGACGGAGAAGTCTGGCTCCAGGTCCAATAATTTCCTCTTTGTTGATTTCATGACTGCCCAGAAATACCTGAACAGGCGAGCCGTGGCAGCACACAGGTACGTGATGTGTCAGAGGAGAAACGAGCCGTTCACATTTCTCTCTTTGTGGCAAGTAACGGCCCACAAACCTCACCACGCTTTAGGGACTGTTCTTTACTTGTGAAGGGACTGTTCTTTACTTGTCAGGGGAGGAGGGTGGCTGGTTGATTTTTATTTTATTTATTTATTTTATTTTGATCCCCCTTATGTTAATCACTTATTGATGCTGTTTTTGAAGTATGAATAAGTCAAGTAATTTATTCCATTGAAATATCATTGATGTATTAGGCCTATAGAAAAGTGATTTGTCTTTTTATAAATGACAAAAGGCACATCTGCCTCATTTTTTCTGTGGTACTACTCAGAACTATGATACTTTCACTGGTGGCCCCCAGAGTGTCTTGAGTCAGAGTCGCTGTCTGCCAGCTCAGCTACGTCAGCATCGTTGTCGGAGACTGCATTTACACGTTTACATGCAGCTTGAGAATATCTTAGCTTGGAAAAAGAAGGAGATGACGAAGCAGCAGTGCAGTACCTCCCGACAAAAACAAAAAACAAACACACCATGGCGACCGAGAAGCAGAAAACACACTTCTGGACGGATGAGTAAACTACATTCATGCTCCGACAGCTGAAGGAGCTAAACATTTTGAAGTTCATGGACGGTAGGAAAATGCAAAACGCGGATTTATTTAAGTTTCTGAGCAAGGACTAGAAATAGTTCAATACGCACTATATTAAAAAGGACACAGCCCTGCCTATCAAGGTGGAGTCAGACGTACTTGGTTAGAAATTAGATTTTGTCTTCTGCACATGTACTCAGACATGACAAGAAGTCCGACTTGACTGATTAACCAAGCTATGAGCTTAGCTCAACTACTGCATGCTCCACCACCTTATATATGTCAGCGGAGGTTATCATGCTGGCCACATCATCTGCATCCGTGTTGCTCAACACCTCATCAGTGTCAGCAGGTGTCATGCTATTCGCCACCTCATCACCACCAGAAAAGTGGTTTGAAATGAATTAATAAATATTACAGGTACATAGACACAGAAAAAAAGCACAAAAATGCAGATATTGAAACTGACACAAACCTTTTATTTCATGTTGTCACAAGCTTTTACATCATTGTCACCTGTCAATTTTATTTGTCCCCGAAGGACAACGGTCCCATTATTGTAAGACAATACCTCAGAGGGCTTTAGTGTACATAGCCTGGCAATCAAGATGATACCTGTTTTACTGGAGAGCTGCAGAAATAGAACACATACACATGTATATATATCGTACAAAATACACAATTTTTTTTTTAACGATTTTTGAGGGATTCTGATTTCTTAGCTTATCAAGCACTTGCAGCCACTTCGGTTGCGTCAGCATCATCGTTGGAGTCTGCGTCATCGTCGGAGTCTGCGTCATCGTCAGAGTCTGCGTCGTCATCGTCAGAGTCTGCATCAGCGTCAGAGTCTGCGTCAGCAGAGTCTGCGTCAGAGTCAGAGTCTGCGTCATCGTCAGTGTCGTTGTCTGCTGCTACAGCTACGTCAGCATCATCATCAGAGTCTGCGTCATCATCAGCGTCGCTTGCCGCAACCAGATCATCTGCGTCAGCAGAGGTCATGTTGCTTGCCACCTCATCTGCGTCAGCGGAGGTCATCATGCTGGCCACATCATCTTCGTCCAAGCTGCTCAACACGTCATCTGTGTCAGCGGAGGTCATGTTGCTTGCCACCTCATCTGCATCAGCATTGTTCATGTTGCTCAGAATCAGGTCCAGAATGTCAGAGTCGGACATTGCATCATCGAGAGTGACGTCTTTGAGCGCCTTGTCTATTGCAGGGCCGTTCTTGGCAATAGCATCGTCCAGAGCCTTTTCATCTTTAGAAGTAATTGCATCCATAAATAAAAGAAAGTTAGTCAAAGTGTTGTCTGTAAAGAACTTGACAAGTTTTGTAATTGTTTTAAAAATTGCACAAGACACTGACTTCCTAACATGCATGCAGAGTTATGGCGTTGCATCAATACATAAGACATCTGGTGCACATATCACACTACTTGAAATATTATGACAACTATGACATCACATTAAATCATCTAGTTACCTGGGTCTACTGCAGCAGCCTTTTTGGCTGGTGCTGCTGGTGCTGCAGTGATCACAGCCACCAAAGCAAAGGCCAGCACCAAAATTTGGATCTTCATTTTCTGAAAGAAATCATAAAAACTTACATAAATACTGTCAGCATAAGTACAGCATCCAATGAAAAGTTTCCAGGGTTTGATGGTCTATAACAAACAATGCCTGAAGGCTAATGATGTAATGCAAAGACACACTGTGACATCAAGGATCAAGTGAACACTTGTATCACTTTTATTTGCTAATGTTGAATATTGATCAGGTGTACAGTATGCTTGGAAGTCCTTGGGAGTCTTTTGTGGGAAAAATAAAATGATCATAAGAACAAAAAGCCTCTAAAACTCTGAAACCACAAAATTGACTTGACTTTTAGATGCTCAAAAACTTTTTCGTCGATTTTTTAAACTCTCACTCTAAATTGGCTAATATCCTGAGGCTCAGGTAAGTTTGCTAATTAACTGACCAACTCAGCAAACAACTGGTTTTAAACAAGGGTGGGGAAACTGCAGGGTGCTCCTGGAATCCTTTTACTCTTTTAATGCTAACAGTTGTTTACTGTTCATTCAAAGATGCCCATTATAAACATATGAATATGCCTCTAGTCTTCCTGGGGTCCTCCACATTGAAATAAAGTACAAACATAAAATAGTACAGACAAATTAAGATCTTAAAATAATCAAAATACCAAACTGATACTCAAATGATATAAAATGAGATGTAATTGTAGACTAAACCATAATTCAACAAAGCAGCAGAAAGGAAAGACACTACAAACATACGTGATAATATAACAAGTACACTAATCAGATAAATGTATTTATTTAACAAAACATTTATTTAAATTTGAATTTTACATTCCTACTATGTCAGGAAATAATAATTAAGTTTTGGCCAAATTCACAATTAAATCAGCACAGCACCCTATGACTCCGTAATCTAAATTATTTAATGACAGGAGCCCATAGGATCAGCTAGCATTAGCTGCTTTGTGCCGGCCTTAATTTTGTCATGTTTTCCTGATTTGGCGTCTTTCTTGTTCATTTTCTGACTCAAGCTTATTGTAGTCAAGAGTTTGTCATGCAGTCTAGTGTTCATTTGTCGACTACATCTCTGCTTTAGGCTACTTTAGTTCAGGGTCTGGTGGAGCTGGGTGTTCAAGCATCTTTCTTGGTCATGACATAGCCAGAAGTCCAACAGATACATTTATAGAAGAATGAGGATATAAAAATAAGTACATAAAATAGGGCTGTGTGCTTATCTTATGGCAAGATATTTCTTTGTAAGCATTGTAATGGTAATTTTTTCTTTCATGGTAGATTTTATATCAATAGGCAGAGAGTTCGAGATTGCTACTGTATGGACCTGTATATAAAGGTAGATTCAAGAAAAATCATTCTTGGCCCCGGGAGCATTATTTGTTTTAGGCTGTACCTCTCTCCTAACCCAGAAGGGCAGGGTTCGAACTATGTGGGAGCCAGTGGGAGCTGAACTCCCATAAAGAGGGCATTAGCTCCCATGAAAGCTGTAAAACCATACATCTGTGGGGGTCTCTAACAAAACATTAACAACCACTATTTTATTACAAATTATGTATTTTTCAATGTAATGAGTATTATTTACGTTAGCGAGATAAATAACTTGTTATGTTTTCCAAAAGAACAACGATATTCTCCCGTGAATGACAGGCCTTTGGCTGCAATTACATACACCCAGTGGGTGAGGAGCTCACAAGCTACACCTTCAGAGCTTAAGGTTGCTGGTTTGGGCAAATAAAATCAAAAGCAGCAAAGAAGCAAAACAAAAAACCAAGGCAGCAGCTCACTTGCTACAAAACAAAAGCATAATTAATCTTATGCAAGTACTCCCCATGACAACGCAAGACAAGCGAACAAAACGCAAAGAATATAAATCACTGGCTATCCAGCAAACCTCTGTCTGGCTTTCCCCCCAGTTACTTGTTTGTAACTTTTTGGGAAGCTTGACAGCACACATAAAATTATACATACAATATATAGTAATAATACATTATTTAATCACAGTATGAAATACGCAGCAGTGGTACCATGTTTGCAATGTCGCCTTATAGCAAGAAGGTTCTGGTTTTGAATCAACCAGCCAAAGCCCTTCAGTATGGAGTTTGATGTTCCCCCTTTTAAGCGTAGGTTTTCTCCGGGTTCTCCATTTCCTCCTACAATCCAATGACATGTAGGCTAGGTAAATGGTGGCTCTAAATTGCCAGCAGGTGTGAATGTGAGCCTGAATGGTTTTCTGTCTCTTTTCCAGCTCGCTGGTCGGTTTGAATCCACCAGTCGGCCGGAGCCCTTCTGTATGGAGTTCGATGTTCTCCTTTTTTCAGCGTGGGTTT